TGCAAGTTTAAAGTTTGACTTTAATGGTCGGAGCTAGTCGTGGGTATGTTTGTGAAAAAGGATGATTAGATTCGGAGGTTTTACCAGGATTTGACTACTTAGATTCCTTAAGTGTGTAAGTGTGTCTTACCTGGATCTTGCACTTGGCTTCCACCATCTGGAGTTTGGTCTGAACCAACTCCTGCTCCAGCTCCCTGATCTGAGTCCTGAGGGACTCCTTTTCTCGGTCCTCAATCCTCTGCTCCTCCTCCTCCTCCTCCTCCTCCTTCCTAGGACCTGCATCGCTCTCCTCGCTGCCTTGTTTAGTCATCCCTCGGCCTTCTGTCTGCCCCGCTGCTGCAGAGCTCTGACCTGCATCGGACGACTCATCTGACTCGACAACGTGTTGACAGCAGGAGCAAGCCCTCATTACACTCTGCAAGGTGAGAAGAGGGAGAGTAACGAGCAGAAAACGAGACAGATGAAGCTTTTCTGCCCCAAACATGATGAACCACCGTCTACCTGCTGTTTTAGATGATCTCTAATGAGAAATGAAAGGAACTGAGGCATTAAGAATCATTGTATTCAACACGAAGCATGGCGGAGGTAAAAGCAAAGAGAAAGTAGGACAGATGACAGCAGAGCTGCACAGGGAGAGTGCTCCTCTCACCTTGAGCGAATCTAACTCCTCTCTGTGGGCGGCCTGCTGCTTCTCCAGACGGTTTGTCAGCTGAGAGCAGATCTGAGGGAAACAGCATCTGATTTTAACATCACTGAGCAAAACCTTCGCAGCAGCAATTCTTTATTAATGCAGCTACTTTGTCTATATCTGTCTTTAATATATTTATACAGCAAAAACAATGCCATCAATTCTCTGTACCTGCTTGTAGTCTGCAATGATACCAGACGACCTTTTGACCTCTTGCTCAGCCTTCTCCAGCTCTCTCCGAAACACTTCCTTCAGCTATAAACAGAGAAAAAATGTCATTCGTCTGTGCCTTACAGCTATAACGACTCTTAAACGCTATATAACCATCAGACATAAGAAAGTCTTACCATCACAGTTTCCTCCTCTTTCCCTTTCTTCTCCTCTTCTGTGGCCTGCAGTCGATGTCTGGTCTGCAGCAGATCTTTTGTTAGTTCATCCACTCTATCCTCCGCCTGAAAACAACACAACAATCAGCTCAGGACGCTATTTTAGTCGTTAGCATTTCGTTCAGCAGTCGATGTCATGCACATGGAGGAAAATATCCCACTTAACCGAATTCATGGCTGCAAGATAAAAGTTCTAATTTGCAAATTTAGATCAATCTTATAAGCTGTAAACTTTATTTTGAAAGATTCGGTTGACATAGTAACGTAGGCAATTGCATCAGCTTATAATTGTGTTTAATTGCAGCAACAAATTTTCTTTAATTGTATTATTAACTATAATGCACCACTTTAACATGGTTATAAATAAAGACAGAGATATTAGTTGCAACAACCTAATCTTCATGAATGATTAAAAATACGGTAATGCTATGAATCATTAAGTAAGTGGTGATTAACAGTACCTAAGATTCCAGTTCATTTCCCTAACTTGAATGTAATTTCATTCAAAGTTGTCTAAACTCAAAAAAGATGTTTGCACACTGTGTTCATTTAGACTTTATTTTTTAATACCTTCAACCAGAAGTTAAATCCACACTCTTACATATTTTAAACGAGATGACAAAGAACTACTGTAATGAAATGCAAATGAAATGCTGACTTGTAAAAGTTTTATTAGGGTCACAGTTTGGTCGTTCCCTGTGCAGCTTTCTCCGGGCTTCTTACCCTTTCGTGAAGGGCAGTAATTAATTGTACCTTGTCCAGAGCGTTCCTCAGGGCGACCTTGCTGCTGATCAGTCTGTGGGCCAAGTTGTCATTTTCCTGCTCCAGACGGTGGCTGGTCTGCTGAAGCCGCCGGTTTTCCTTCTGCAGACCGCATAAAAAAAACAATCCGTCAGGGTCTGTAAATGCAAACTGCAGCATTTTAAAAGCTAAAAAAAGTGGAAATCGTGTCAAAGGAGTCGCTGTTGGTTTTATGAGAGTTTCTGACCAGGTATTTGTCCAAAGGATCTTCTACGTCTTCCATTATCTGAAGCCGGCATTCCTTCAGTTTAGCTTTCTTTGTTGGTACCTGAGGGGAGACGGAGTCACGGCTAATTAAATACAGCAACGTTAAAAAGAAATCGTCACATTTGACTGAGCTGAAGCAAGCTATCTCCTTCAAACAGATATTGTGCCAGATGTAGGATAAGCGCGACAAATGGAGAACAGGCTTCAGAAAGAGATCCAGTTGGGGATAAAAAAAAAAAACTGAGATAAGATAGAGAGCACATGGGGAAATGATCATTTAGGATGCATGAAGGAATAATAGCAGAAGGAAGGGATTTTTTTTTTTTAAAAGCCTGAAATGTCAATTTTCCATATCTCAAATATCTAAAACGAACAATCAGAATTCATTTCCCCGTATCTGGAATCACACATCAGCTGTGCAGAGGAATGCTTTGTGTTGTGTTTGTGCCCGACACTTTCAAATCCCAATTTTTGTATCTGCATGTTTTGAAATTTATGCTGAACTCAAATTTTCTCGTGTTTAGTCTATTCAAGCAAATCCAAGGCAGCTGCTTAGAATAAAGTATTGGAATCATATAATCGTCTAAATAGCAAAATGTACTTGCAGAATAATGAGCCTGGTGAAGGCTACATGATAATCCTGCAGATCAAATCAATGGATCGTCAATATGCATTTATGTCAGCAGCATTTTGTGGCAAGTTAAGGTGATGCCTTTTTGAACTTTTATGGTGTTGAGTAGCTTGAACGATAACAACAGATCATGTTTTATATTTTCTGCATGCAAAATCTTATTTCTATCTGTCAAAACAAACACGGATGAGTAAAAAAAATGCAATCAATGCATTCACTAGAAATGCAGTCGACTAAATAGTGTAAAATGAAAATTAGAGGAAGTGCAAACTGAGCTACATTCTACTGCTGATGGAGAAATGGTCCATCTGTCAGCTTTACATGTTGTGTGGAATCTCAGATAAGCTAACCCATGCAAAAGTGGATCTTACTGTGTTTTTAGGTTCCGTTTCAGAAACCAGACAGGCGAGGATCTCCTCCTCGCTCATCTGGTCAAAAGCATTGGCGTCATAGGCCATCGCCATGGACATCTCCTCCATCATTGTTGCCCAGATTTATATGCAGCCGCTTCCAGTCGCAGAATCTAAAGCCTCCGACTCCAAAAATCCAGCCGGAGTGTTGAGCACACCGTCGGGCCTGGACGACAACAAAGCCTCTCGAGTGACTCAGAGATGCAGAATGATCCAGAAAGATGCCCTTATTTTTACCTCGCAGCGACGACGACGACGAGAGGTCAGTCTGGCATGTGAGCGTTAAAAAGGAAACAACAGGCTGAAGTCCAAGTCCTCCCCGTACGAGGAAACTGTTTGGAGTCCAAAGGTGAAAGATTGTCCAACAGGTGAGCGTGTTGATATAAACACACCTCGTACGCAAGAAGCACTTTTGGTGTCAGGTGAGTGTGTTTTGCAGGTAAATGGGCAGTAACAGGTTCAGCAGGGTTTCAATGAGACCTGAGAGAGTGTGTGTGTGAAAGAAAGACAGCCCTAAACACACCCACAACACCTTTCTTATCATCTCACCTGTCGACTTTTAAACACACAGACAACACCCGATAATGAGCTTTGAAAGAAACCATCAGCGTGACTCGGATTGATTCAGCGACAACAAGCTTCTGTTATTCGTATTCTTACTCTCGCCTAGTTGATGCCGTGTGAAGAAGCCAGACAGCCAACTAAACACTGCTTGTGCATGTGAGGAGTACACGATGTGGCATTTGTGATATTTCAACCCCGGGCTGTTGGTGTAACACAGATCTGTCGTTCTATTATTGTCATGGGCAGAGCAGCCTGACGGGGAAGCAAACGAGTCCAGCAGGTAAAGTGATAAATACCAGAATGCAGAATAACAAAGAGGATTCAGCTCCTCCGCCCGTTCACGACACCCACGTCGTCTCTCCCTCCCCGCCGTCATTTTCCTGTGACGGTGCAGTTTCTCCCCAGTTTCTCACTTTCTGTCCTCAGAAATGTGAAAGAAAACTCAAGTTTTACTTCCCGTTTTGAAGCTTCGCCGTGTGGCTGTTTTCCACTTCTGTCTTTAATTTTACTCCACCTCTTATTCCACTCCCTCTGTGGTTTTTTTTTTTTTTTCTCAACACTTCCCGCTATAATGTATGTCTGTGCTTTTTTTTTCTTTTCTTTAACCAGAAACTGCGATTTCAACATCCTGTGTATCTGCTTGTCTGAGTGACTGGAAGAAAAGACAAACCACATTTAAAAAAAAAAAAAAAAAGTCCAGACAGATATATAAACATTTATTCCTCCTCAAAAAAAAGGAACATTTTGTGAAACATGGTGGATTTTTTTTTTCTTACTGTATCAGGGGTATACCAAAACTATTCATACAGTAATATCTGAAAAATACCATTTTGAACACTCCGCTTGGGGAAACCTAAAAATAAAAACAGTTCAGTTCTGATACAGCGGTGCTCCTTTATGCGGTGCAACAAACTAAGCTTCCTTCACCAGACTGAAGGGGGATGATATTTGTAGCAGTGAACACAGAGTGGACATCAGATAAATAAATAATAAATAAAAAAAGCAGTTTTACACGTATAAGATAGCACTTCTGAACAACGAGAGGATGTGAGGTGACGAAAGTGAGGAAATATAATGAGGCTCACAGCTCAGTGGAAGCATAATGATCTGATAATATAGTGAATAAATATCTTCTATACATTTTTAAAATAAAAGTCTTTGATCGGTAATACTCAATATATTTTTTTCCACATTTTTTTCCCCTCCTCCACTTTTACCACAACTTATGAGTAATCTTAAAGTGAAATTTCCACGTCCATGTGTACATTCCCAGTCTCTTCTCGGTGTGTTCCTGTGTTGCATCATCACACAGCAAAGATGGAAGAAAAAAACAAAACAAATCGAAGTCACTAAAATACACCTAAACCCTGACATCCTTCACAAAAAACTACTTTAAAAATATATAGATTCAGGCATGTACTGTGTAACGACACTGCATCTTATTACTACACCGGAGCAGAGACGATGGCTTATTGATACAAAACTCAAGCTTCCAGATCAGGAAAATCCTCGTGTTTCTTTTTTTCTGCTTCTTCAAAAATCTGCTTCCTTTTTTTCTTCAAACTGTAAACATGACAAAGTTAAATACATCAACTCATGTGGAAGACACCGCAGAGCAAACGTCGGCTTTCGTTAACCAGAGGTGACGACATTTTCCAGCAGACTCCAACTAGACTCCTTCAAAATGAAAAAGAGTGCAGTTCTTGATGTCTTTTCCTCTGGACTGAGCTCAGTTTGTAATTTCTTGGCATAAAACTCCTCCAAAAAAGAAAAAGCTGTTAGCCCTCATGTACTGTAAGCTGAAGGGGGGACGGAGGGATTTACATTTCAGTTAACACCAGAAAGCAGAGGGAAGGGCAGAACACAGCAGGAAAGAGAAACTAAAGGAATTGTGATTTGGGGGGTTGGTCCTTTTAAAAATGTTAACACCAGATATGTACAAAGTGTGAAGATGCAGCCGACACCCAACGCCTCGATGATGTCTCGCTGCGATCAGATTTAACCTCCGAGTTCACATTGGATTTTACAAAACGTTGATCGATACCAAAAGTTTCCCTGGCTTTACGGTAAAGAGGAAGGGATTTCCGTGGCTACTCGTAATCTTATCTAAAGTGGCTTACAAATGCATCAAGTATCCAGCTGTGTTTTCGGATCTATGCTTTCCAAAAACCACTAATCAATGATCACGACGTTATTTTTGCTCCCAAGGGAAATTCATTTTTTATACAGGCGTCTATAGGCAGCAGTTTTTAAGTACCCTACACGTCTAATTTAGTACAACTGAGGTCCTGTAAGTCACGTTGAAGTGTTGTGTTCTAACGTTTTAATTTTTTTGTGAACATCAGGAGGTGGAATTACGGCGGGAATGGCATTTACAGATCATTTTCTACTACTTTCAGGGAAACAGAAAGTAATAAATTACACTTATGAGCAATTGATTGAGGAAATTCCTTTTTTTTTTTTCTTCTTCTTCTTTCATTTTTAAATTACATAACAACATGCACAAAACGTACCAGGAAATGATTTAGAAATTACCATTAATGTAATTATTTGAAAAACTATTTATACTGTTGGGTTGTGGTGCACATCAATGGCTTAAAATAAGAAAAAATATTCATTTTGTATGTTATAAAAGTTGTTTTTTTCTAATCAGGAAACATGGATTACGGGGATTCCTACCACCTATACACAAGAACTGCTTTTCAGTGTGACCCTATTGTGTTCACACTACAGATGTCTCGAATGGCCGCAATTTATCCAGATGTGCTGAAACTTGGACTGCACATGTGAAGCAGTTAGAAAAACAAAAGCCAAAAAACATTAGCACCCCCTGTGATGGGACCCTGTGTGACAGATATTGAGGTTGCGCTGGAGTTACGCAGCATTTCCCTGCTGATCCAAAGCTGTTCAGCTCCCAGAGGGCATGGAGTCGTCGCCCACACAGGGGCTCCATCGGTGGGCTCAGTTTATGGGTCACCTCTCCCTGGATGAAGAAGTCTGGGTACATCTGTGACTGAAGTGAGCGTGTGCAGTAAATGTGTGTCGTTGTGCTGTATCTCAATACCTGAATTTAGTCCCGAGGCCAAAGGGGAATGTGCTGGACGGTGTTGGTGTGTGTGGGTCAGACCTGGGTGCTGTAGGGGCGCGGCGGGGGAGGAAACATGTCCGTGGGGTTGTAGTAGCTCAGAGGGGAGGAGCCCTGCGGGGTGACGGACAGGGGAAGGGAGACGGACGGGTTCTCGTAGTAGGTGTGGAAGCCCAGCCGCTCCCCTCCGTTGCGCATGTCGTCGGTGAGTCCGGAGCGGACGGGGTACGGCGAGCAGGTGGGGCAGTGGTTGTGGTGGGAACCCGTGTCCAGCTGATCCAGGGAGACGGGGGTGATGGCGGCGCCGTCCATGGCCAGGGCGTTGCAGGCGTTGCAGGGGAAGTGGGAGAGAGGGTCCGCTTCCACCACGGAGCCCACGTCCACCTCAGAGTCATTTTTCTTACAGCAGTAATACTGCAGGAGGTTGACAAGGGAAACACCAGAGGAGAGGAGAGAGAGAGCATTAGAGCTAAAATGGTTTGGGTAATTACTGTCTTGTAAAGCATACAGTACTGTGAACCTCGAGGATATTGAAGGAGTGGTTTGACACGGTGGGAATTGAGCTTATTTGTTTTGTTGCCAAGAGCTAGATGAGAAGATCGATACCATTCTCACGCCTGTGTGTTAAAGAGACAGTCGGCATTAGGATGTGGAGGGTGGAAAAGCATCTGTGCATTGGGATGGAGGGCATGTCTGCTGAATCACTGATCACTTCCAACTCTGCTGTGCCGCTTGCTACTTTCACAGTTTAACAGTGATGTACACAGCGTGGAAAAAACAAACATATTCTCACCACTAGCTGGCCTGACAATCCAGATCAATAGATACGCTAAAGTTACACTTTAATGTAGCTGGAGCCAGAAAGAGATTAGCCTTAAAAACATAGACATATTAGTCAGCCAGTATTATCAGCCGATATTGGCTTATCTCACACATATTGTTGTCCACTATGTGCCAATATGAAAACTTCTTCCCACAAAATAAGTCACCTTGGGTTAATTTAAAATCGGTGTCATGACAGTTTTTCCAGCACACAAAGCGCCGACTCCATTGTTTATAATATTCTGTCTGCAGCGCATGTAACACAGCAAATGGTGGTGCGGAGTCACGTGGTGTCTTCATGTTTGGTTGTTCAATTTGTGAAATACACTCCTGGAAAGTTAATAAACACTGGTGTCATCAGCATAATGCTATAAAATATGTACTGTGTAGATTTTTTTCTCTCGAAAATTGCGTCAACCTTTAAAATCCAGAGCGGGTCCAGCTCTGAACAACAAGACTCCGTGTAAAGTTAAGGACTAAACGGCTCACTAATTAACATTTTAATTTAGTTTGTTTAGTCGGTACAGAACAGTCGTGTAAAAATAAAGTCATGGTTGCCAGGAAACCAATGCAAAGGATTACTGGGTGATCAAATCAAACGCTCCCTCTAAAACCACAAATTGTTTAAGTGTTTTGTTTTTGTGTGTAAGATTTAAAATGGGATAAAATATGCTAATTGGAGAGTTATTGCTTTAAGGCAGAACTCGGGAGAGAGACAGGTTTCTCTGCTTAATATTAAACTAGTCTAATCCCTTCCTAGCTCCAACTGGCACTAGGAGGATGGCCAAGCAAGTATTTTAATAAGCTGGAACAATGAGACAATAAAACACTGAACAA